CTACATAAATAATAGTATGTATTTCGAAGTCGATGGAGTTCGTGAGACCGCGAACTGTTATGTGTATGAATAAGAGTTTTATTTTTGTGGAGAGCGAAGCAAAAAGGCAGACATATTTTATTTCTTTATACGAGTACATCTCTCTTTTAGATATTTTCAATAAAAGGGTTTTCCCATACAAAAGCTTGGTCTAGGAATTTCTCAGAAATATGCCGGTGGCGATAAATAATTTTGACCCGGCCAAAAAGAAAAAGGCCGTATACGGTGTGAGAGGAATAATTTGAGTGTGCCATAAATTATGCGTCTGGGTGTCATGTCCTATCTTATATTAGGACATCAAAACTAAATTTGATATAAAATTTAGTTTCTACACAGTTGTGTTCTTAATATTGCAAATTATTTCAAAAAAACAAAATTACATTACTAAAACCAATCGATTTTTTTATGCATAAACCTCATTTATTTACAGCTTAACATCAAAGGGTCATTGACGTAGTACACTTTAAAATAGTGCAAGAAGCGATACAAAACATAAAGCTAGCCCTGAAATGAGGGATAAGAAAAAAGGATACTAAATGATTGGCTTCTGGAATCCAGGCGGTAAAAAAACCAACGAGAATGTACTAGATGAACTAATTAATAGATACAAAATAGACGTTGTAGCAATAGACGAAACCAAACAGACAAACAACATAAACATAAAGTTTCATGGTTACTACATCTACAGGAACGACCATAGAACAGTCAGCAGGCACTGCTATCCTAGAGAGAAGAGGAATATCGCATATTAGAATACACAGACCAGCAGTAAATACTATGGAAGCAACTACAGTCACAGTAAAAATAAGGCAAGGAGAAATTAGAATCATCTCTGCATACGTAAGGCCACAGGATTCAATAAACGATTATGATCTAAATGTATTCCTGAATATAGAAGAGCCGTCCATAATAATAGGAGACCTAGACGCAAGATCCTCAAACTAGAATGATAGAGCTAAGAATAGAAATGGAAGATCATGAATGTGTTGCTTGTGTGAGTCCATTTCTAATAGGTAAAGAAATAATAAATAAGAATTACTCACAATCAATTTAATTTAACTATCAGACGACCGGTTTCGCTTTCTACAATATGCAAAGCATTATCAGGTCTCGATACAAAGTTAAACAAATGCTGAAATAATAAAAACCCATATTAGGGTGTTGTCTAATAACGATAAACAAAGTAGGTGTTGTAAATTACAATAATTATGCCAATATTACATGTCTGCGGTTTTATTGAAATGAGTAAGTTGAATAAAAGGTATAAAATTTTTTAAAAAGTTTAAACAGACAAGGTAAGGCCCACAAATTGTTATAAAATAGTCTCTTCGATTGTAATAAAATAATAAATAAACAAATAATTAAATAAAATAAACATTACTTACATGCCGGTACTCTATTAATAGATGGATGGTAGAACATGGTTGAAACTACTTTATATTGTTGAATGGAGAACTCAATTCTATTATTGCAGTTGTTTGACAGTAAACCGGAAGTTCTTGAGGAGATAGATTTGATCCAATGAAGAAGAGATATGTGTGAGATTGTTTGTTAAATGTAAGTGATGTAATATACTATTGTGTTATTAAAGGCTATTTGTACTTATTCCAGAGATATATTTTTGAAATGTGTGTTATTTATTGAGTAATTGTTTTATGAAGGTGACAGTTTTATGACAATGAATAAGTGTAGATGTAAAAGTTGTGTGAGTGTGCAATTATTATTATATAACTACAAGTTGGAAAATAATTGCACACCCACACAACTTTTACATCTACACTTATTCATTGTCATAAAACTGTCACCTTCATAAAACAATTACTCAATAAATAACACACATTTCAAAAATATATCTCTGGAATAAGTACAAATAGCCTTTAATAACACAATAGTATATTACAAGACTTACATTTAACAAACAATCTCACACATATCTCAAATTCATTGGATCAAATCTATCTCCTCAAGAACTTCCCGTTTACTGTCAAACAACTGCAATAATAGAATTGAGTTCTCCATTCAACAATATAAAGTAGTTTCAACCATGTTCTACCATCCATCTATTAATAGAGTACCGGCATGTAAGTAATGTTTATTTTATTTATTTATTTGCTCATTTATTATTTTATTACAATCGAAGAGACTATTTATAACAATTGTGTGGGCGTTACCTTGTCTGTTTAAACTTTTTAAAAATTTTATACCTTTTATACAAATTACTCATTTAAATAAAACCACAGACATGTAATATTGGCATAATTATTGTAATTTACAACACCTACTTTGTTTATCGTTATTAAACAACACCCTAATATGGGTTTTTATTATTTCAGCATTTGTTTAACTTTGTATCGAGACCTGAGGATGCTTTGCATATTGTAGAAAGCGAAACCGGTCGTCTAATAGTTAAATTAAATTGATTGTGAGTAAGTCTTATTTATTATTTCTTTACCTATAAGAAATGGAAGACTACTAAACAACTATCTAGCAAACAACGACGATACCATGGTAATAGGGACCATCAAGTCATTTTCAAGGAGATGCTAAACCCACCCAAGTAGTTATAGTAGTAGCTAAAAACCTAGGACTATAGACAGATATCCGAACACGGAAGAAAACTGCACAACAACAACAAAAAGAAAGAAAACAAAGTGGTTACACTAGAAAAGATTTATGAGTATTAGAATCAACAATATCCCAGTGATCAACAATCCACAAGAAATAGAAGAAAACGTCCTAAAGTTTAAAAATATCATCCAAGAAGCTCTAAGAAACAATACTACCAAAGATGAGTTATAAATTTAGATGGGAAGGTTTAGAGATATAAACCTGGAAACAAAAAAAAAATGAGTAGGCAAAAAACACAGAGCCAAAAAGAGAGCCAGAAGAACGAGAAACTAGGAAGACAAAAACAGAAGAAAACATCTAAACAAAGAAGTAAAAATGGAGCCGAAGATAGGACAACTACGTACAAAAAATGGATAAACAGGGATCAAATATGCAAAATATTTGAAAACTTCAATGAACATTAAGGAACGACAAAAAATCCATCTCCCAATTACATGGAGAAAATGACATCATCTACACCATTAAATAAAAAGGTGATGAGGAGGACTCTCAGGAGAGAGTGTACACTAAATAATCACCAAGACGAATACGTAGACTTCATTGAAGAAGTCGATGAATACCAAGGAATGCCCAAAGAAGCAGACGAGATAATCACATCCACACCTCCACAAGAAATAAACGCGCTAATAAAAAATAGTTCCCCGTAAAAAACACTTGGTCTAGATGAAATTTCAAACAGAGCTTTAAAATATCTACCAGTGAAAGCAATTGTATTTTTAACAAACGTCACAAATGCGAGACACAGATACAGGCTCTTCCCAAACCAATGGAACGAATTCCACGTTATTATAATTTTAAAGCCAGGAAAAACCACACGTTTTCGCAAAACTACAGGCTAATAAGCTTACTTCTAGCAGTCATTAAAATTGTAGAAAGAGTCATACTAAGCAGACTCCAATCAGAAACAGGCAGGTTAGGAATAGTCCCAGAAGCACAGTTTTGATTCCTAGCAGAACACTCCAGCAAACTACAAGTACTCAGACTAACAGAGTACATAACAGCTGGATCCAACGACAACCAGTATACAAGAGCAGCCTTCCAGTACGTAAGCAAAGCCTTCGACAGAGTCTGGCATGAAGGACTGACTTACAAAATGAAAAGCTATGGATACAGCGGAGCCATGACAGGACTAATCTCATCGTACTTAGGCAGCCGGAGGTTTAGTGTTCGGATAGGACGAGTCCTGTCCGAGCAAAGAGCTCCGGAGGCTGGAGTGTCACAGGAATCGATCCTGTCACCTCTACTGTATACAATATACATTGCTGATATTCCAAGAATATCAGGAACACTTTTCAGCCTTTATGTAGATGACATAACAATTGCGGCTAAATACAGAAACATTGATAAAGCTAAAAATAACTTAAAGATAGCATTGGATGACATAGAAAAATGGAGTATATAATGAAAAATAGCCATCATGTCAGAAAAAACTCAAGCAGTCATGTTTAATAAGAGAGGAGAAACTTCAGACGAACAGCTTACAGTACAAAACAATCCCGTCGAATGGAAAAGAGAAGCAAAATACTTACGAGTCACAACGGATCAGGGACTATCCTTCACGCAACATGTGGACCAAACCATCCAAAAAACAACTACAGCCAGAGTAGTAGAGTACGCATATGTCAAAAAAGCAAATTAAGACTAAAAACGAAAATAAGACTGATTAACAGTATTATACTTCTAATAATAACATACTTCCGATATGTTTCTGAACGTTTTCTGTTCAGAGAACTAAAAGAAGTAAGGGTGACAGACATGATGGAAGAAAAAATCAGAACAAAGTTTGCTAAGCTAAAGAACTACCAAAGCCTGATACTGCGAGAGATAATAAGATATGATGCGTTCCATCGATGGAAGCATAAAAGACCAAAACAGCAAATCCTGGCTAACATGTAAATTCTAGAAAATCGTAGCTCTATAAACAGAAGATAATCAAGCACATAGCACTGGTAATTTTTGTAATGACTAATGACACTACTTTTCAGACATCTCTCTAAAAAATTACAAAAAACAAAAAAAAACGGCTTCGACCACCAAAAAAAAAATTACAAAACTAGTTATAAAAAGGCGAAAGCCACCAAAAAAAAATTAATAAAAAACCCTAAACCCGGGCACAAGAGGCACACATTCCCGATATTCTCAAACAAGATAGGATGGTTTGATGTTAAGGCTTATTTGGAATTAATTTCCAAGGTAATATCGCATGTTTTTAGTATCGCATATTTTATACTAAATTATTATAGAAAATATACCTGCAGTCAACAACCACTGCCAGATTACATACTAACAGTAATCGCATAAAAATAGAACAGGGGGTTAGACAAGGAGACCCAATGTCACCTAAACTTTTTAATACGGTGCTAGAACATGCTTTTAAGAATTTGGATTGGATGACAAAGGGAATAAAAATAGATGGAGAATATCTAAACAACTTACGTTTCGCCGATGATATACTTATAATAGCTGAAGATCTAGGTATGGCAAGAGAGATGGTACAGGAACTCGTTGTGGCTACAGAAAATGTAGGTTATATGTAGGTAATGTAGGTAAATATAAATATCTCGAAAACAAAAATCATGACCAATTTGGTACCCAACTAGAACATCAGTATTGGTGGGAAAGAAATAGAACTCGTAGATAGATATAAATACCTAGGACATGAAATTATGATTGGCAGAGATAACCAGACTCATGAACTGAACGGAAGAATCGGCTTTGGGTGGGCAGCATTTGGAAAACTGAGAGAAACTTTTAAAAGTGAGCTGCCCAAATGCCTAAAGAGAAAGGTATTTGATCAGTGCGTCCTCCCAGGCTTGACGTTCGTAGCAGAAACACTTACCTTAACAAAAGCAGCAGCTACCAAACTGAGAGTCACGCAGAGAAGAATGGAGCGGTCCACGTTAGGAATAACTCTGCGAGACAGAATAACCAACGAAGACATCAGGAGAAGAACCGGAGTGACTGACATCATCAAGAAGATAGCCAGACTAAAATGGAGATGGGCAGGACACATAGCCAGAATGACAGATGGGCGATGGAAAAAGAGGTTATTGGAATGGAGACGGGGTTGGAAACATGAGGAAGAGGCCTATGTTTAGCAGTGGACTCTTGAGGCTTGATGATGATGATGATGATGATGATCGCATGTTTGACTTCTAGTAGTTTGAATTTTGATTGAAACCACTTGGTCTGCCAAGCATTGATCACTAAGTTCTTGATTATAGATTTTACATCTAGATCTGTGATGCTTCTCGTTTCTACAGCTTCCGCACTAGATACCGTTAGTTTTGCCAAGTAATCTACTTCTTCATTACCACAAATTCCGATATGTGACGAAATGTATACAAAGTTAACATTTATGTTTATAGTTTGTAGTTGGTTTATTGCTAATTTAATAAGTAGTAGACTTGGATGGCTCGGTTATAAGTTAACTTGGTTGTGTGAATGGATGTTAGTTTGGGAGTTTAGTGTATATTTTTGTTTTATTAAACATAAATGATGCTCCCACTCCCTTTATAGTTTTAGAGTTTTAGAGGCATCGGTACATATAGGAATATTGTTATTGTATGTCTTGAGTTCTCGGAGGACATATTGGTATAATGCTTTGGGATGTTTTTCTGCTTTTTTATGTATCGAGAGTTTGGTATTGATAGTTGGAATAGAAACAGTCCAAGAAGAAACAGTTTTGACATTTGGTAAACAATAGGTATCTGGAAATTTGACTTCAAGTTCATTGAGCTCTCTATTTACTCTTTTATAAAAAGGAAGGTCAAACCTAGCATGTATTGTAAAAATATTCCTAAAACGATCTGAATTAACGTAGTGGTTAACAGAATTCACAGGATTTGCTTGTATTGATGCCTTATATGTTAGTAAAAGTTGTTTTCTTCGAAATTCCAGGAGGATTGCTGTAGCTTTGCAGTGTAAACTTTCAGTAGTTCTAGTATACGAGGCACCTAGTATGGTTCGCAAAGGATTATTTTATATTCAATCGAGTTGTTTTATCAAATATGGTTTTGCTGAATCTTAAATAATACAAGCGTAATCAAGTTTGGACTTGATAATTGACTTATATAAATCTGAGTTTTACTATAGTTTGTTGCTAAAGATTCGTTAGGCATTAAACTGTCGTTTTCCTATCTGCCCCCTTAACGTGATATGATCAATATTAAATCACCCATTTACCTTGGATACCACGATCCTCTGATCTGTCTTCAATTAAGCATGCCTGGGACATGATAAGTTACAGGCTTTTGAATTTGCAACATCGTCTGCATACTTTTGCAGCGTTTATTCACGAATAACGTGGATCCTTGTGGATCTTCAACATATTATTAAATTAGCTTCTGCGGTAAGGACAAAAGCTGCAACTTTATTTATTTTACCAGTAACAAACACTGAAAATGTATACCAAAAATTATTAAAATCAGTGTATATTTTTTTGTCACTAATATTGAGAAGATTTGTATAACATTCTACAATTATTGTTTTATTTATTATTAATAGATCCTTATGCAGTTAATAAGCAACTAATGTTTTAATATATACTCTGAGAATGTTAAATCTTTATATATTTATACTCCTTCCAGATGTATTCATCGTAATGTCCACATAAGCCAGCTTATAATTCATGCTACATGAAAATATGTCTGTCCCATTTCTACCCAAATTACCCCTTGAACTTTGGATTAAATGTCCGTTTTACAATACTCGAAAAGGATTTAAGTCTCGTTGTACCTGTCACCAGCTGCAACATGTTGAGCCACTTAAGTTTTTTTCATTTCAATATAAGTTGTATACCTACTTGTTGCAAGACGGTTTTATACTTGTATAAAGGGTGACCACTTAGAATGTCTTCTGTAAAGACGTGTAATGGCAGTTTTCGTTTTTGATTTATTTAAAATTTGTTTTTACATGGAAATGGTGGAAACTTATTAGACAAATATTATGTATATATTTATATAAATAAATCTTTATAAACTTCCATTGCATCTTTGATGTTCTTAGTTCTTCAATCTCCGTTTTTTACTTATTTTCCTTTATATATTAGTGAAATGTATTACCCAAAATTAGGATCAGAGGATCAGAGGTTTAAACACTTAAATGTTTGCTACAGACGTTTATGGTCTCAGAAGTTATTTCAACCATTTTAATATTTTAATATCACTTTTCCATTACATGAAGTTTTACTTGGAGATTTTAGATTAAAATTTCATTTGAAGATAGCAATTCGAGTATAAAATCTGAAATATATGAATATTTTCTCCGACTCTATGCTTTTATCGCATTAGCGAAAATCGTTTTTAATAAAACTCGTTAACATTTGCTACTGTATAATAAAATTAATTAAACTGATATTATAAAGTCTATTTTGCATTTATAAAAGTAACAAACGGTGAAGCACAATAATTGTTCAAATGAATATATAAAATTTAGAAAAGTAGATTCTATTTTTGGCCAGAATAAAATAATGGACAAAAAATAATATTTGATAAAAGTAACATATTGGATAATGTAATATATAATAAAGTTTTTTGGTGATTAACGTTTTAGACTTACTTCGTCAATTTTGGGCTATCTAAGAATTGCAGAATGTCATAAACATAGGATTGGACACAACTGTTGTATAAGTTATGTACAACTTTTAACATTAACTAAACTCTCCATACCTCTGCGTAATTTAGATAGACCATCCCCACAGTTGTATATTTCAACATCTGCCACTGTTGGTCAGTTGGTATTGGGTAACGCTTTTACATATTAATTTTATAGTTAAAAAACACAGAAGTTAAAACACTTCACACTAGTATTGTGGTATAAAAAACAAATAGTTAAAACTTTTTAAAAAGGTGTAGTCAAAATTTATGTACTAGCATAACGTTTTCGATCTGAACAGATCATCCTCAGTGCCTTGTATAATTGAAGCTATAGTACTGGCAAGCACTCTTGACCACGGCGCAGTAGACGAAATTTGGTTTAGTCCCCACCTCCACGCGAAACTGTACTATGTAACGTGAAAATATCGACTTGAAGATTTTTAGTTGTGTTTTTGACTTTGAGGTGTTAACTTCAATAAGTTTGTGTATTTTCTCCCGTTTACCTGTTGCGTATTCAAATTTATTAAAAGCGGTCAAAAGATAGATACTTTATCATAAATTAAAATACATAGGGGTGCATTAAGGAAATTTTAATAAAATTTTTTCATTTCTTCTTTGTTTTGGGACTGGTGCAAAACAAAAATTACTTGCAGTCTGTTTCAATTAATTGGTTAATATTTGATATTGGAAAATCTTTTTTTTTAACTACTTCATATGTTACGATTTACGTTGATCTGAGTTTACATTTTTTTTAAATCTTTGTTTTATATATCGTGTTCATTTTAACATAAAATTTTACATTTTTAAAACTTTTTTAACATAAAAAATAATTTTTGTTGATAAAAATAGACAATTTCAATACTTATTTTATAGATACTTAGTTATGTAATCTTAACATTTTTTTAAATTTGTTAATTACTATTAAACTGGGAATAAGCCACAATTAAAGATAAAAATACGTTTATTGACGTTTCAATTTCCACTTCGGAAATCGAAACAAAAAAAATTTGTTTAATTTACTGTTTGTATTTTGAGAACGATTTCCGAAGTGGAAATTGAAACGTCAATAAACGTATTTTTATTTTCAATTGTGGCTTATTCCCAGTTTAATAGTAATTAATTTACAATGCCACAAGAAAATAGCTTTAGAACAATTTTAATTCGTTGTCGGATAATAATAAAATTATATTCTTTTGGTTATTTTTTTTTTATAAAAAAAATAAACAATTTATAACACCTACCGAACACAGAAGTGATAATTTTTTAAATTTATATTTAGATCAATCATAATTGTTTAATCAAAATATTTTTATATTTTTATTTCCTTCACGGAGCCATCATAATAATTACAGCCGTGTTATTCACAGTCAGGGCCGACATATTGTTTACAATGTGTATAAGTTTTTAAAAAGCAACAAGAAAAACACAACACAAAATCTTCGGTTTTAAATATGGTTGTTGAAGCCACTGGAGCTTCTAAAAGTAGCGTCCAAAGAATTATTAAAGAAGAAGAAAGAGTTTCCGATTTTTCATCTCCTTCAGGCAGCTCGGGAAATGTCTTTAAATCTCCCAGAAAAAAAATTCAGCCAAAACCGAAAACCAACCTATCTACCAATCATACTGTATTTTTTTCTTAAAGTTTTCAACACCTTGTGGAATATTCATTTGTAAAATACTAAAATTAAAACACAACTATAGCCTTAGGTTTTTTTAACATTTTGTTTTTTTTATTGATTCACTTATATTCAAAAATAACAAAGTTGTGTCCTTTGTCAATGTTCTTGACAAACAACTAGCCATGTTCTTTGTCAATAAATCCTTATTTTCTGCTTAGTTTAATAAACAAACCTAAAGTGGGCTATGATAAATTAACAATTTGATAAATGTCAAATTATTAACAGTCACAAAGTGTCTGGTTTTTTTGTAAAAATTAGTTACTTTATTATTTAAAGTTTTAATTAAAACAGACATAAAAAATGTCCAATTTTTAAAATGATGTGTTAATTTTGGGGGTTTTGTGTATATATTGTCTAAACCTTTCGAGGAATTCAGGTACATAAATAAATCCAACTAATTACTAAAAGGAAATCCATGTATAGGTAGGTAGAACCTAATTATTGTTCTATTGTATCTAATTGTTCTTATCTAACCTCATTGTAATTCCTAGTAATCTCTGATTTCTAGTAGTTATGACGTGTGGAGAATTCCAAACAAATTATCAATCGATCATTAGCAATAAACAAATCAGTAAACAAATGATCATTATCACTCAATCAAATTATCCGTTGGACTCTTAATATGAATTTGAATATTATTTAATTTACTGTCCTAAATACCATTATAAATCAATACAAAAATTAGTTAATTTGTAAATAATTTTTAAGTAGATACAACTGTTTAGACATTTTAAAAATAAATTATTAAATTAAATATGTATTAGTTATTCATCCCATAATATTAGTTATATGTCTCAACTCAAAATAAGAAATTGAAAATATAAACCTATAACCAATAATTTTGCAATA